GTTATTAAATATATATATTATTATAAGTCTTTATAAACTATTTCATTGTTTAAGCAAGGAGGGGAACACGTGACTGAGGACCACTTTAACCCCTCCTTCCCTGGGGAGGCAGAAGCGGACATCAGCTGTGAATCCAGCAGAAACCTGGCACGTCCCTCAGCAGGGACCCAGAGCTCGCTGGCTTGCGGGCACAAGGACACGCACGGAGGGGACACGGGGGCTTCCACTCACTCTAAGTCCTTCACAAGGACGTTCTTTTTTCCAGCCTGTGCTTTGTGAGAAAGTACTTGAAGAATTCATACACCGACCAGGCGATGGCCGTTGAAGGCATCTGGTATATGACACGTGCCTGCACCCCTCTGAAATACCCCGCAATGCCCCCCAGCTGATAGACAGTCTTGAAGGCGTTCACCATGCCCGAGAGATGTCCGCTGATGTTCACCGAGCTCAAGGCCATGTTCTCTTGGGTGTTGAGCAGGGTCTTGCAGACATCCAGAGGAGTGGTGGCGGCGGCGGGCACCGGCCACGCGGCACCGGAGACGATGTGGGACCGAGGGTTATACTCCCGGTGGGGGTTGATCTGCTCCTGCATGAACTCGTAGGTGATGAAGTGAATGGCCTGGAAGGGGACGTTCATGGTGAGCTGGGTGGTGTAGCTGCGGTAGAAGGCACCGAACCCCTCCGTCCTCTGCACTGTCCTTATGCATGCCAGGACGGACTTGTAGGGGGAGTTGAACATCTGCATCCGCTGCTTCACCACTGGTCCAGGCGACAGCCGCAGGGAGACAGGCAGGGCAGGCAGCACCAGGCAGGACAGGGAGATAAAACAAAGATTTATTGGCCAAGGCACATGGTTCCTGGTCATCACAGCACCCAGACTGACCCCTGCTCCAAGTCCCAACCATCCAGACCCAACCTCCCCTTCAAGTCCAAAGCGACAGGACACTTCTGCAGCCATGAGCTCCTTATCTACAGGCTTTCACCAAAAGGCTGCAGGTGTCCTCTGCTTCCCCCAACCTGCCCAGTGCCCCCAAAAAACCCAACGCAACAAGTGAGGGAAGCAGGTCCGAGCTCAGCCCCGGTTCAACAGCTCTCCAATTCCACGGGCTAATGCACTCCTCTCCTCAAGCTTAATTAAGGAGCCTTTACTTCTAGCTCGAAAGGCATTGAGACAGACTGACAAGGACCCTCAGGTGCACGTGAGGATGCAGAGCTGTCGTGCTGAAACACTGACATACCAAGAGGACAAGGGCAGAAAGGCGGTTAAATAACTGTACATGACCTGGGAAGTGTAACTTGTGTAACACTGACAGCAAAAGGCCAATTAAATTAATTTGTTTAATCATGATTTAATTAAAAGGATTTTAAACACTAGAGAGTTTCTCCTCCAGAAAAACCTGTCTTTGGACCAAAACATTAATTGTCTTCATTTTAGTTGCATTTCACTGTTAGTCCCCCTCATGCCAGACTCTACCTACCCGGGATGGCTACACAACGGTCCCACCGGCCGCTGTGCTTGTGAGGGGAGCTCAGTTGAGTTTGGGTAATCCAAAGTTTGAGATAAACCATAACCACTTCCATAAAGATGCACTAGCAGCGTAGTAACAGCATTGTGCTAGTAAAAGTGACACCAGTTTTCCTGGGAAAGTCATGATACGCCACGTAGATGCCGTGCAACTCCTTGGCCAGCAAGGGAAAACAGCCAGGCAGAATTTACCCCTTTACACTGGTCTGAGCTCATGAAGACCTGGGCAGAGTCACTAAAGCAAAGGGGTTGAGCTGCTGAGATGGCTCAGAGCATCCTCGGTGCCCTCCCCAGCTAACGGGGTGCAGCACTTCCCACCAGCACGGGGCATTACCTTCAGCGGGATTCATCACTGCGTCGTGGAGTAGCGTGGCCACGCTCCCAGCTATACCTGCAAGACAAAAGCACCATTAAAAAAAAAGGATCAGGAGGCCAGGGGCTTGCACAGGCAGCGCCATCCGCAGAGGCAGCAGCCGACATTGCAGGCAGTCCGCGCGGCACCGAGCTAAGTCCAGCTCCGCAATGAGCCCGAGGGCGCATCCAGCAACACGGCTCCTTCCCGGTGCGGAAAAACCCATCCAGAGCAGCTTGATGGAAACCAGGATCCGTTCAGAGGATCGCGGCCGTCAGCTCTGCCGTTCCCTACGACAACTCACGAGGCTTTGCCTACACAAGACACCACCAGCTCACCCAGCCTGCGCTGCGAAATGAGCAGTGCTGAGAACTGGCTCAGCCCATCCATAATTAGGCGTTTTCATCCATTTACTCAGTCTAGTTTTAAACACTAATTGCACGGATTCTGCAAACATCCAGCCAGCCATTAATGATTTTGCAGTTGGCTCTAGGATGGGCCTCTCGAACCACACCTTCTCCTTTGATGTAGGTTTCCATCTCAAATTCTCTCTTGCCCAAATGACTTTTGGTCATTTCTCATTAACACAGCGCTTCGGTTTTCCCGCTGGTACTGAAAACCTGTAGCTACTTGAAAGGTAAACACAGGAAGCATGTTACTAGCAAAAAGCAGCAAGCCAGCAAGATATTATATACCCTCAACTGAGCTGGTTAAGTCAAGTGACTGCCACAGCAGATTCCTACCGTGGCATCACGCCAAGGACCAGGCAGAACTGTCTTCTGCACAAACCTTTCTGACACACCCCTGGCTGCTCGGTTAGAGGGTTTCTGCTGTTACAGCGGTATTGCCGGACCTAAACGCAAAAGCCTTCCTGGTAGAAGCAAAATCTTTAACAGAAGCATGTGAGCTCAGAGCGCGCTTGACCATGCTGGAGCTCCAAGGGAGACGACATGGAACAACCTGTACTTCAAAGCTCGAGCCTTCAAACCAAGCCAGAAACGGCAGCAGCTGAACGACGCTTGTCCAGCGTATTGGCTGCTTGCGCCAGAATAATTTGAGATTAAAGGGCAGTGCAGAAATCTAGATGAGACTAAGGCTTCGGAGGGTGCGCAGCATCGCCATCGGGGCTTTCAGGCCAGGAAGGGCTTCTCCACTCTGGTGCTGCCAGCCAGCCCAGCCACCCCCCCTCCGGAAGGGAGATCTACCAAGGGGTCAGGGCACAGGCTTCAGAGGGGCACGGTGACCAGCACGGAGCGCTCAGCTAGAAGGTAGGTGCCACACTTGCCTGCCTGCCCACCCCCCCCCGGCACTACCAAAGGGGGTGCCGACACCAAAACGCCTGGG